AAATAAAATTAAAAAAAAAAAATTAAAAAAAATAAAAAATAAAACTGAAATCTAAACAACTTAAATGCCAAGATTTAAGATCTTTGATCAATTCAGAGTCCTTAATGCCTTGAATACTGCCTGGAATACCAAAGCCACTTAGTAAATTATTTGTTGAAATAATGGCTGAATAATTTCAAGATGATGGGTAAATATGCTGTGTAGCAAAGCCAGTATAGAAAAAGTTCTCATCATAACCACTGTGCCACTCTAAGACATGATCTATAAACATAATTATGCTGCATGTGTATACTGTTACCTTTATTTTATAGGTATAGAAAGAGTAGCTTCCCTAAAAGCACACAGTTAATAAATGGTAAAGAACCTTGACTCAGCCCCATCATTGAATACAATTCCCATAGGCATGGGTGACATGGGGGCCTTGATCTGCCATTGAGATGTACTCTTACGTTGGTACCTCATAGTTTATGAAAAATGTGCCATAATTTTATAATACAATGTTTGAGTGATGTTTGAGTTTTTCTTTTCTAGAGGAATTTTAAACTGTTGAGCTATTACATTATCCAAATCAGCTTTAAAAGAAAAATTTCACATTTTTATAAATGTGGTATATTCATTTTGTAAGTATTCTGGGGAATCTCAAATAGTACTCTATTCCTAGCGATAGCCATAAGGCCAAGCTCAGTGAATAGTAGACTCTTGTAAGTGGAACATAATCTATCGTCTAGAATGTTTTGCTTGGAAAGTAACTGAAAACTAAAGACTGTTTTATACCCTACAACCTACAGCTGTATTTCATAGCCCCAGCATTCTTAACAGAAAAATAGTATATTTTATTTCTATACAATAAGAACATTGTAATCAGATGACATAGAACAGTAAAATGTGTTTTTTTATTATCTATTACTGTTTCTTCCATTTATGAAATGCAGGCATTAAACAGTTAATTATGTCATTAAAGAGATGACTTGGGCAGTAATGCAAAATAAAGGGTTTTTCTTTTTTTTTTTTTTTTTTTTTTTTTCGGAACTTTTGCAGTACCAGGGATTGGACTCAGGACGCTGCGCTTGCCAGGCAAGTGCTTATTCTACTGAGCTATCTCCCCGGCCCTACAAAATAAAGTTTTATATAATTCTGTATACAAATAGATTGGTGAAAATAAACCTTTTTCTTTTTTTTTCTTGGTGGAACTAGGGATTGAACTCAGGGCCTTGTGCTTGCCAGGAAAGCACTTATTCCACTGAGCCATCTCCCTGGCCCCAAAATAAACCATTTTGTTTGACAATTCATTAAGAATAAAGATGCACTATTTCTAATTTTATTGACTTATTACAGTCTCTTTCATATTTTGTAGGAGAGAATATTATTTTCTAAGGCACTTTTTTAAAAAAGTTGTCCAAAAAATACCTGTTCCTTATTATGCCTAAGATGTTTGAAATGCGAGTGAGATAGTGAGGTTAAGCTTAATAGCCTAAATCGTTTGATAATAACAATAAGCTTGTCTTCTGGATGGTTAACAACCTAAGTTTGCAGACCAAAATTAGAGAAAAAGGAG